GGAAGGGTGGTCTGAGCGGGGCTGTAGCAACCTGTGAGTGTGTAGGAGTTGCCTGTTGGAGGTGGAAGCTGGTGGGACCTTTGGGGAGCCCTCACCTTGCAGGGGTACCCCATCTGCAGCCTTTTCCTCCGAGGCTGGGGCTTGTTGGATGCTGCCTCCCCTCATCCTGCGGCGACAAACCCCTTTTCTTCGCCGGATGAATGAGCTTTTTGGCAGCTCGGGGCAAAGAAACAGCTCATCTGGCTCCCGCAGCCCGTTGACTTGGCCATTGTTTTTACAAGACTTTGATGAGGCCGGTGACAGCAGACAGATGGGCTCTGCTCTCCTCCGGCTGTGAACCCCCCCCCCTCCTTCCTTGTAGAGGCTACTCCCCGTGCACAATCCTCTATCAGACACCAGAGAATCCCCAGGGTGGGGTGGCATCGCCTGAGCGTGGCGACAAGCCCTGGGTGCCACCAGGCAGTTGTGGGAGCTCCTTTGGGACTACTCCTGATAAGCTGCTGGGCGGTGCTGGGTCTGTCCTGGTGGCAGCAGGACCTCGATACTCAAGGATGGTAGCCCCTGCCTCGCTGGCCAGCACCCACCTCCAGTGGACCAGTTGTGTCTGGGCCACTGCTTGTTCCTGGGGGGCTACCAGAAGATGGGGGTGATGTTCCCACCACCATGACCCCCACCCATTTTTCCAAGCCCCGCAGTGCCCACCGCACCCTCTTGGAGAGGAGACCTTCACCACATCCTTCCCCCAACCCACCTGGAGCCACCCAGAGGACCTCTTCATCCCACCACCCCAGGATGGTGGGTCACCCTCTGTGACCGAATGGAGCACCTCTGCTCCGAGGACAGGCTGAGGGAGCTGGGGTTGTTCAGCCTGGAGAAGAGGAGGCTCCAGGGAGACTGTATCCCAGCCCCAGCTCCCTGTATCCCAGCCCCAGCTCCCTGTCTTCACACTTGTGCTGACGCAGCCGTCGCCGAGGCCGGGCTGTCAACAGGATTGGGGTTAAAAATAGTGCTGTGCAAGGGAAAAGGGGGATTATTTTGAATCTAGAGCAGTCCCTCTTTGTGTGGGGGGGACGACAGACTTCTAGGTTGGCCACTGCAGGATGTGCTGGTGTGCTAGGGGTTTTGTCCATGGGGGTCAGGACCCGCTTTGCAAGGCTCTAGTTGGGGGGTGTCTCTGCCCCTCTTGGGTGTGATGCTCTCAGTGGTAAGAGGTTGCTTCCTGGCAAACCCCCGTGGGTTGGTATTGTTGGTGCCCATCATCCCAGAGCAGGGCAGGCCGATGATCAGCTGGAATAGGGTGGTCCATCAGCCCACCATAGAATCATAGAATCATTGAGGTTGGAAGAGACCCTTGGGATCATCAAGTCCAACCATCTCCCCTACTCTACAAAGTCCTCCCCTACACCATATCCCCCAACACCACATCTAAACGTCCCTTAAACACATCCAGGGACGGTGACTCAACCACCTCCCTACTGTGAAGCAGGTTCTGGAGGTCTTCGGAGCCCATCTGGGAAGGTTGTGGGGCTCTGAAGCAGTGGAGGACGCAGAGCAGAGGTGACCACAGAGGACCAAATCTAATTATATCCCCCAACACCACATCTAAACGTCCCTTAAACACATCCAGGGGCGGTGACTCAACCACCTCCCTACTGTGAAGCAGGTTCTGGAGGTCTTCGGAGCCCATCTGGGAAGGTTGTGGGGCTCTGAAGCAGTGGAGGATGCAGAGCAGAGGTGACCACAGAGGACCAAATCAAATTCTGCCCACTCCTACCCAGGGAGCAGGTGAAAGATGCTCTTCTGACCACTTCTCCAGGGACCCCAAACTCCACCTGTGACCCCCACCAAGGCGTGACATCTCCGGTGGGTGACAGCTGTAGTGCTGCTGGTGCCCATGCCATGGGGGGGGCACAGCATGGCTTTTCCCCCTTCTTTTTTCCTTGTTTTTTTCTGGGATAAGTGGTAATTTGGGGATGGGGAGGGACGAAAGGTTCTCTATTCTGGGTCTGTCCCGGGCAGGGGGTGCCAGACGCCTTCCCCCAGTTTAGGTGACACCATGGGCGTGTGACAGCGTGTCACCATCAGGCGTGGGCACCTCCCACGGGCTGGTGACAGGCTCTGCCGAAGGGTTAATGCCTCCGAGGGGGGCTGAGCCATCCTGTCGGAATGCTTTAACCCTTCCCAGCCCCTCCTGGGCAAGGAGGAAGAGGGTGGGAGGACGAAGAGCTCCATTCCTCACCCCCTTCTCCTGCCTTTGGGCACCGGGCGCTAATTAGTGCCCTCCTGAAAAGGAGCAAATCTGGGAGTAATCCACCTTGGGTAGGAAGCTCATCATACCGAAGATTCCCTGTAGATACGTTAAGGCGGGGAAATCTATTACTCCCTAATTAAAGGGAGGCAGAAACGATTGTTCTTTTTTCTCTGTTGTGCGTGTTTTCCGCCCGTGAAACTCAATTATAAAGTGTATCCGCAGGAGGGGGAGTCTCTGCCTGGCAGGGGGGGTTTCAAAAGCTGGAGCAAACACCAGAACAGCCTCAAATTCTTGCGATTTGGGGGATTTGGGTGGGCACAGCCCCCTCCCTGTTCGCCTGCCGACCTGCTTGCTTTGTCTCTCCCCCCCTCCTTCTCCCATCTCGATCCCTGCAGCGGGAGAAAGATGCTGAAGGCCGGACTTAAAATAGAAATCCGTTCTCTGGAGGCTGGAGAAATGAGTGTTTGCTCCAAGGGGGGGGCTCTGCTGGGTCTTAAATACTCGGAGGCTGTGTTTGAGGAGGCAAGGGGCTTCGGGGGGGTTTTTAGGGCCCACCCATGGGTGCTGGTGGGTGGAGGGCCACCCCCCCGCACGCCCCTCAAGCAGGGACACTCGGAGGACGTGTGGCTCCCGATAAGAAAAGCAATCAAAGGCAGCCTTAAATCTTCACTGTGGAATTGTGGATTTAAATCACCACGTGTGGCTCCCGATAAGAAAAGCAATCAAAAGCAGCCTTAAATCTTGGCCGTGGAATTGTGGGTTTAAATCACCAGCGGGACGAGACGACGGGGGGTAGGAGGGGTAGGGAAGGGGGCATAAATCCACCCAGCACCTTCTTAGCACCCCCCAAGTCTGGGGGACTGGGAATTCTGGGAGACTGGGAGTTCTGGGGGACAGGGGTGACATTAATCCCCTGCCCTGGCACCCCCGTCCTGTCCCCAGCGTGGCTCTGGTGGGTGGCACGGTGCCAGGAGTACTGTCACGTATGTACATACATGTACATACATATGTACAGGGTGTGTATAGGAGAAAAGCCTCGGTGTGCGCGGAGAAAGAACACACAAAGTGAATATTTAGTGTGTATTTGTACACGTATTGGGCATACGTTAACGTGTGGGCGTAGATATATAGAAATATATATATTTTATATATATAAACACACAAATTATATGTATATATGGTATGTATTCCTACTTTATACATACATATATAGTGTCTGAGCAGTGCTATGTCTGTAGAGAGTGCGTGTGTGTAGGCGCTGCTGGGGGAATAGACTGTATTTTTCTATATTGCATTTTTCTATTTCTCTATCGGAGCTTATAGAGAGCCTCTCTACAGAATATATATTTGTTTTATTCCATTTCCACCCATACGCTGCACTCACGTATATTTATATTGCGTGGACAGACTGAGCACATACGAAACGTGTCCGCACATGACAATTATTTCTCCACACACGTAGTGACTGGATATATATATATAAAAAGAAGCGTAGCCAGCATAAATGTGTATATATAGCGTGTTCCTATCTACATATATAGCACGAGTGTGGGTTATATATAACGTGCAGACACAGAAATATGGAAATATAACATATATGCTATATGCTGAAGGGTAGAAATAAATTTATATGTATTTATAATGTGTGTGTGTGTGCTGCGGCGATGTGTCACCGCGCCGTCTCCCACCTCCTCGGGGTCCCCTGGGTCGTACTGGGGGCTGTACTGGGCTGTACCGGGCTGTACCGGGGGGGACACACACAAACCAGGCTCAACCTCCCCCCTGCCCCCCATCAAACACGGACCCGGCTCCACTTTCAATCCCTTTTATTGACTCTTTTCACAGACAGAAGCTCGTAGAAAGGCGCCCGCGGCTCTCACCGATCTCGGGGCTCCCAGGGACCGGAGTAGGGGGTGAGGGGGGGGACGGTGGAGACCCCTCGCCTCCCGGGACCCCCTTTTTTTTTCCTCCTCCTCCCCCCCCACCCCACGGGCACGTCTACGGCACAGACACTTGGCTACAAGGCTACTCTACCCAACACACATCGAAGGGCCCCGCCGGGCCAAGAAGGAAGGGGAGGGTCGGGATGGGACCGGGAATTTTGGGGAGGGGATGGGGAA